AGGGGCGCGGGGCGGAGGGCGGCCGGCCCGGCTCTTACCTTCCGCCGTCCTGCCCGTGCTGAACTCCTTCAGTTTGTCCTTGTCGCTCTCTACGTGGTCTTTGAAAAGATGCACCGGGCAATGGTTGCTGCTCTCGGTCATGTCCTGCAGGTTAGAGTCCGAGTTTCCAAGCTCCCTAGAGCGAGCCAACCCACTCTCCAAAACTTCCCTGTACGTGATCGTCTCCTTCTTGTTGCTGCTGCCACTGCCGCTGCTGCTCTCTTTGCTTTTCTGGTCAAAAGATTTGGATACAAAAGCCGTAAGTTCTTCCATGGCTGCCCGGTGATCTTATCCACAGAGATCCACTTGTTTTCAGTCGGAGATGTGGCCGTCCTCCGCACGCTGTTTTTGCACGTAGAAGATGGGCTGTATAGGGTTAGATCACTCCTGCTGTTATTTATGCCTTTCAATTTGAGATCACACTATTTATACATGGCTACCTCAGCCCAACCCCCAGCTCTCCCTGTCTCCAGCAATTACTGACTGCTCCATAGTCGCAGGCGGACTCCTAGCAGCTATCTCCCCCACCTCAGTCCAGCAATTGGCTTTCTTTTCATTTCATCACTCTTTGGCATCTTTGCACCTTGATTTAGGGAGGCAAAGAGGCAAAAGCGAAAAAGGTGGGGAGAGAGAGAGAGGGAGAGAGAGGAATAAAAGGGAAGGGGGGGAGGAAAGAGGAAAACATGAAAATAGGTATCTGCATTCTGTAAACGGGTTGCAGAAATGAAAGTCGAGGAAGACTTAATTGATTGTAAGGACATCCTGTGCGTGGCAACACCGTGAGTAAAACCGGACCCACAGCTAATCAAATAACTGTGCTCCTGCAATTAAATGTATCGCTGTCAAGAGGAAAAGAGAATGAGTGTTCAATAAAAAAGGTAATGAATAAAAAGCCGGAGATGTGCATTTGTTGTAATCAATGGGATTTCTACCTGATTTGCTATTTAGCTAATTTCGCTTAATTAAATGGTCAAAATAATGGGCGAACCAAAAACGCTGGTTTAAAAGTGTTGCCTGTTCTGGCGGGTGGGT